AATAAGAATCAAGATATTCATGTAATGGTACAAGATCCCAATGATGAATGTAACTGTATTTTATACCGAAAATGTACCAATAAACTTAATGGGGGAAAAAATAAATAAATAAATAATAAAATCAGGATCATGACAAGGATGACTGCAATCACCACTCCTGTTCAATACACTTCTGGACACATTAGCCAGAGCAATTAGACAAGACAAAGAAATAAAAAGAATAAAGAGAGAAAATGAAATGAAGAAGTTAAATTATTGTTATTTTTGGATGGCATGATCCTCTGCATAGAAGACACCAAAAACTCCACCAAAAGACTCTTAGATTTAATAAGCAAATTCAGTAGCATAACTGGATATAAAGTCAACACTGAAAAATCAATAGCATTCCTGTACATGAATAACAAACTCACTGAAAGAGAAATTAGAGAAATAACATCTTTCAAAATAGCATCCAGAAAAATGTAATACTTAGGAATCAATCTAACTAAGGAAGTAAAAGACTTTTAGACTGAAAACTACACTACTCTGAAAAAGGAGATTAAAGAGGATATCAGACAATGGAAAGACATTCCTTGCTCTTGGGTTGGCACAACCAATATAGTGAAAATGGCCATACTTCCAAAACTATTATACAGATTTAACACAATCCCAATTAAAATACCAATAGGATACCTTGCAGAACTAGAGAAATCAATCCTATAATTCATTTGGAACCAGAAGAGAACTAGAAGAGCAAAAGTAATTCTGGGCAATAAAGGCAAGGCAGGGGGCATGACAATCCCTGACTTGAAATTATACTAAAAGTTACTGTTATAAAAACAAGCAGGATACTGGCAAAACAAAATGGATCCAAGAATTAATAGAACAGATTAGAAAATGCAGAAACATCTCCAAAAACACACATCCACCTTGTCTTTGACAAAGGGGCCAAACATCTGCACTTTAATAAATGGTGCTGGGAAAACTGGCTTTCCACATGCCAAAGATTAAACCTAGACCCATATCTCATCACCATGCACTAAACTAAAATCAAAATGGATAGAAGATCTAAATATTAAAACAGAAACACTAAATCTGCTGGAACAGAGTAGGTAAAACTCTTGACATAGGTGTAGGCAACGACTTTATGAAACTTTTGAGAGAGGTGCTATAAGTAGAATGAGAAAAGAAGGGCAAGAGAGAGATTTTCACTTTTGCTTTTTACATGTCCGTAGGTTTTAATTAATGTAGTTCTTAATAAAAGTGCACATTACTACATTACTGGTAAAATGTAAACATAACAGGAAAATTTACATTCATTTCAATAAACTTTACATTATTAAACTGAAATTAATATGTAGAAACTTCCCTTATCTCTCATACTAAGTTAGTCAACTGCACAATTAAACTATAACCTTTTGTATGCTATTAAAAGGAAATTACCTTTAAAATATAATTCAGTAAATTCTTATTTTAATGGGAATGTCCATGCAAGCCAAGAATCACACTTCTTTTTCTAATACTCCTTAGCTCTGTGGTCTGACTGCATGATTAAGGGAGTTAGTATATTTTTTCATGGAACTAAACAGTTGTTAGTAAATTCATGTTGAATGCAATGATTCAAAATAAGTTCTAAATTTGATTACCTGAGAAATGCCATAGAAGTTTTCAGTCTAATAGTGTAAAGGAATATGTTAAACTGAATTCAGACAACTTCCTCAGATGCTCAGTTAAAAACATGAGAAAAAGAAAAAAATGGAAACAAAGTCTTTGTAAATAGGGAAGGGTGGAGGGGGTGATGGGAGGGCAGGGGAATGGGGAAAAAAATAAGAACCAAGATACATCATGTAAAGGTACAAGATCCCAATGATGAATGTAACTGTATTGTATACCTAAAATGCACCAATAAACTTAATGGAAAAAAAAAAGAATACTGCTATACTTTCATTAACTGGTAAAGTTACTTTTTTTGTAAAACTATTCATATTAGTTAATAACAATGTTAGAAAAAATCCTCAAAACTCTGTCTCTAAAAATGGAAAAATAAAACCAGGCAAAAATATGTCTTTGGTTTACTGAAATATATTCAGAGATTAGGATAGAAGAAAAACCGAGTATCCAGAAAGGTTTTTTCTAATTTTTTTTTTACTTGATCCAAACCCTAAGACATATATTTCATAAGAGAAAGAACAAATCTCTTACCTAGAATAAGCCATTTCATTCCACAGTTTGTTTAATGAAGAATTAGGAATAAACACAGTATTAAATAAAAATCACAATTACTGAGGCATATAATTAGAGTGTGATTACCTTTGGGCCAGTAAGACCTGAAAGACCAATGCCTGAAATGCCAGGATCACCTTTGTCTCCTTTCTGTCCAGGTAATCCTGGGGAACCAGGTTGTCCAGGAACTCCAGGAGGTCCGGTCAGTCCTTCCACACCCTGAGGACCTGTTGAAATATTTTACAAAATATTCTTAGTCTTGGAATGTAGCTTAGCGATAGAACATTTGTCTAGCATCCTACCATGGTCAAGGCCCTAGGTTTGATCCTTGGCACTGTTGAAAAGCAAGAAAAATTCAAAGTATTCTGAGCTGGACATGGTGGTACATGCCTGTAATCCTAGCATTCTGAGAGGTTGAGCCAGAAAGATCACAAGTTTCAGCCCAGCTTGGGCAACTTAGCAATATAGTGAGGCCCTGACTCAAAATAAAAGATAAAGGGATGGGGCTAGACTTGTGCAAAGGCCCTAGGTTCAATACTTGGTATCACAAAAATAAATCTCTACTTGTGGCATATCTAAGACATATATGAACAAGCAAAAAGATTTTTAACAAATCACAGCAAACTGAGTTCTGAGCTTCACAGCCAGGAATATGTAAAAGCTGACTTTAAGGATGTTTAAATGGAAAGGATAGAGCTAGAGAACAGATACGTTTGAATTTCAACTTTTAAAGTTTTAAAATCTCTGTCCATTAGAACCGACTTCAAATATTTTTGTAATAAGAGTTCTACCCACGGATTACTTTAAATATTGTCTCAGTCTGTTTCTATCAACTCTCGTCTGTCTGTCTTTCTTTGTAGTGCTAGGGTTCAGACCTATGGCCTCATATATGCTAGGTGAGTGCTTTACTGCTGATCTACATTTCCAGGCTCCATTCTAGTCTTTATTCTAATAAAAAGGCCCTTAATGGTACTAATATTTAGGAGCTTTTCATCACTCACCTGGAAAACCCATATCACCTATGTTTCCTTTAAGTCCAGGAGGTCCTATAAGTCCTGGCTGGCCAGGGAAACCAGGATCACCCTTGGGACCTAGAAAAGTCACATTGGTACAATTAAAATCAGTAAGCACCAGCATAGAATTGGATGAATTAAATCTTAATATATGATTAAAGTTCACAGATATAATTCAGCATGAAATAAGCAAACGATACCTAAGAAATAATAATTATGATAATACAGGTCTCATAATACAACTTTATTAAAAAAAGAAAAAAATTTACCAGGATACATTCTATCTTCCCCTAAAACAATTCAAAACATTGGAGGTGCTATCTTTTGCATATGTATAACTATTCTTACTGTTAAGTCAGTTTATAAAGATTCAGAAATAGCATTTTCATGTACAGCCTGATTACATGAGACCAGGAAGAGCAAAGGTAGTAACCTGTCATGACACAATTCTAGTTACAATAGGCCAGAGAGAGATAAATGTTGACGTAAAGGTACTAGGCAGTTATGCCTGCCTGGTATGGCTACTCTGTTTGCACATTCTTCTTAGAGCATCGGTGCCTGAGTTCTGTGGTGTCGTGTAGATGTCCTTCAGGGACATTATCTTAAACATTTTGTCTTTCACAATGACTTCTAAACTGGGGAGGAGAATGCTGAAGATGTAAGGGAGGAACAATGAGAGAATTTCTCTTTCTGACTATATCAAAGCAATGTGGTATGTAAAAGCAAATAAATGAACTTCAGGGTTTTTAGAAGGATGAGATCAAGCTGTTCTTTATTTCCTTATGGGTCAAACTGAAGGCAAATGGCTTAAGCAGCAAATGTGGAATAATAAAATATAATTGTTCATTGTAAGGGTGGTTCATTTTATAACAGACTACACAGGGAGGTTGTGAGGTTTTTATCCCTAGAAATTTTAAAAATAGAATTGGCCACTATCTGTTATTACATGGATTAATAACTGACTTGTCTGTAGGAAAAAAAACTGGAAAAGGAAAAATTATTCAGACTCCTACCAGGTAATAGTCCTATATATGTATGTTGCAATGTATGTAATAAAACAAAGAAAGTAATTTGAATCATACTTCTGGGTACACCTTGATATCACAAAAAGAAGAAACTGAATAAATCAAAATACCTCAGAAATATTGTCTGTTGAAACTTTGGCCAAATGGCTAAACTTGGCTAAATGGTAACATTTCTGTCAAAGAGGAGTTCCATGTTTTAGTTGCTACCCAAGCATATTACCATGACCAAATTCAAAGCATCATCAAACATGAGAAGTATGCAATTACTTTTCCAGAGTTCAGAGTCAGCTATCCAAAAGCCACAAGTTGTTTATCTTTCCTACCTGGTAGTCCTGGTAATCCAGGTTCTCCACTCAGTCCAGGTTGCCCTGGGTCTCCAGGCAAACCCTGGTAGCCTTTTGGTCCTGAGATTCCAGGAATACCTTCCAAGGATGAGTAGGAGAGACAAGTCAGGCTATCATTAATCCATTAAATGAATCTGACAAAACAAGCTACCCAAGTATTGAACCATATGTGAAATAGAGGAATTTGATGATATTCTGATATAGTACAAACCATTAGTCTTGGATTCATACTAAAACATGCTACTTTTTATTTACCTGCCACCAAGAAATACAGAGCACTTAATGAAGTCACTTTCTTCTTTGGGCTTCAGTGTCATACAATGAAAAATTCCTAGGCTTTCCTTTAAATTCTATGACTTTCTTTAATAGAGCTACAGTACAGGCAAGTGTACTTTACTGCCCCTATTATGCACAAAGCATAGCTGAAAGAGAAAAGATGACTTATAAAGGGTAAGCCAGAGAAGACACCTCATTTTAGCCATAATAAAAAATTAACATCTTTTGTGACTGCGCAAAACTGCAATATTTCAAACTTTTTTGAGGAAAAATATAATCAAATCTTGTTCACTGGGAAACAAAACATCTGTGTACATAAACATACTCACATGTATACAACTGACAATATTAATAGAACATAAAGAGTTACAAATTTACTACAAGCTGCAAATAAGCAAAACTAGTAAAGTTCATTATTGTTTGAAAGACTATTTTATATAGTTTTGGTTGTAAGTTTTTTTAAAAAACTATTTTCTGGGGCCAGGGTTTTATCTCAGTGGCAAAGTGCCTGCCTTGCAAGTGCAAGGTCCTGAGTTCAATCCCTGGTACTGGAAAAAACTATTTTCTGTAAGTGCTCTATATGCTACTTTATGCTTATCTCTATTTTGATGCTTCATTCTGAACACATGACACTTCTATAGAAAGAAGATTTTTTTAAGTTAAAAAAATCCCATATACTTCTCATGCCTTATTTGCTTCTAATAAAACAACTACAATAACAAAGTTGTTCCCTGGACATAATTTCAGGACTTCCTCCAGTGCTGCTTGTGGCTACTCTTAGCCCAAGACATTTTCATTCTGCCAAAGTAGAATAACAGTGAACTGTTTAAAAGCCAAGTATTATATGGATATTAAAACACTGCAGTACAACAAGGTACCTATCATCCAAATCTGGTTTCAAGGGGGAAAAAATGAAAAAGAGTACCAAATTTCCTAAACAATGAAATCTGTTTTTCAAGTGATTGTGGGTATACATATTCTTTTCTCTCTACTTTATCATGTATTTCTTTCTGAATGGATTGAAGGTGATTGCCTAGGTTTGTTTTTAAAACCCCCTCAGCTCAAGATAGGTGAACTACAAAGAAAATAATCTAAAGATTATCAATGCAACAATACGAATCAAATGAAAATTAATACTCATTACCAAAATTTGATGCACCTAAGTATCTTTTGTTGATAAATCTGCATTACAAGGTAATTCTTATATTATTTAAAAATTAAACTTGAGAGCTGGGGTATACCTCAGTGGTAGTACATGTGCTAGCATGAATACTCTTATAGGTTCAATTTTCAGCAACAAAAGAGAAAACAAAAAAATTCAGACATACTGGAAAAAAAGTATTTACAAATACATGATTACATTCACTCACCTGGTAAGCCACGTTCTCCCTTTTCTCCTTTTGAGGCTAGGAGATTTGGATCCCTTGGTCCAGGAGGGCCTGGAAGGCCAGGTTCTCCCTTACCACCTTTTTCTCCTGCAGAGCCAGGAAGTCCTGGCTGACCCTGTAAGCCATCATTGCCTAAAATCAGCATATGTGGGGAAGACACAACAGATCAGATTTATCTCTCCACAATTACTATGTATAAAGATTATTTATATAATTGATAGTTGGATGGGCTAGTAGTCCCCCAAAACATATATGCAATTTAAGTTATTGTCTATGAATTACTTGAGTGCATACACATTTTAAAACTCAAATAACAATCTCTCTTCCTTCTGGAATTCTTTGACTGACCAAAAAACAAATAAAAAGTTTGTTTAGTCCTTATACATTTGAGGTAAGCATTTATGTTTTATGTTAGCCAAACTAGGTAGACCACCATATTGAAAATGTCATGTCACATAGAAACAAAATACTAAGTATTGCTTATTTTAAAGTAGTTAAATAAAAATATTCCATGTAATATAAAGCAATGTTTATTTTCTTTCTCTCTCTCTCTTACATATCAGTCAGCAAATTCCAAATATTACCTTTAAGACCAGGAGCACCATTCCTGCCAGGAATTCCTAAAGGTCCTGGTGCGCCTGGAGGTCCCATCATACCCATTTCACCTTTGGTGCCTTTGAAGAATATCAACAAATAACATTTGCCTCTTTTGACATTAGAAAGATAAAAAGTAAGTTTTAAGATGTCAGCTAGAAAATTATTGCAGAATCTTAACACCCACTATTGCAAATAACCAGAGATACAGATGCTCATTATGGCAACTAATCTCCAAAGATGGGTTCCAACGAAGAATACTTCCCAATATACACATCCTAGTGTAGCCTTCTCGCCTGGAATCTAGGCCAACTCTACTTTACCCTTGGCTAAATGACACTGTATAACTCTCAAGCTAGATCACAAGAAGTCTTGCAGCTTCTACCTGGGGATCCTGGAACACTCACTTTTAGCTTTTGAGATTCTTTCTCTTAGAAGCCAGCTGCCATGGAAGGATAAAAACTATCACAATACTATGATGGTGTGAGGAGCCCAAGCCATATGAAGAGGAATCATGGGAGAGGAGAGCCAAGAAACACCCCAGGGACAGAGAAATGCCATCTAACAAGTAGAACCTTCAAATCTAACAACCCTAGTTGGAATTATACGAGCTACAGATAAGTAATCCAGTAAAGCCATCCCTTGATTTCTGATGGTAGAATCTTGAGCAAAATAAAAATGTTGGTTTAAACCATTAAAGTTTGGGGTTCTTCACTATACAGTAATATTTAACCAAATTCGAACACAGGAAAAAGAATGCTGCAAACAGTGAAAGGAGTCTCCTGCAATCAAAGATATTTTAACAATCTTACTTAACAGTCAATTCAGAAAAGAACAATGTGAGAATAATTTAGTAGAGTCATATTAATATTAATTTCATGAATCAAAAGTGAGAGAAAATATTAAACAAATTACCTGGGAATCCAGGGGCACCTGCCTTTCCTGGGAGCCCTGGTGATCCTGGAGGTCCCACAGGGCCAAGTACTCCAGGGATCCCTGGACTGCCCCTCTCACCAGGAGGTCCTGGAACATCAAATCCAGGAAGTCCTGGATCCCCCTTCTCTCCTGGTATTCCATGTAAGCCTAGTTAATATATCATCAATATTAGTAACAAGTCAGTTTTAAAGGATGTATCTGGTAACATCTCAATCTGATAAAACTCACTTATGAAAAAATTATTGCCAACATAGTAAATGGGGGAAAAAAAAACCTAAAGCTTTCACTCTAAAATCAGGAATAAGATAAGAAGGTTCATTATCATGACTTGTTTTCAACACAGTACTAGAAACATTAGCCAGAGCAATTATGTAAGAAGAAATAAAAAGGCCATGTATAGGAAAGGAAGAAGTCAAACTACCATTATTTTCAGATAATGTGATCCTCTATATAGAAAAGCAAAACAATTCCACCAAAAGACTCCTAGAATTAAGAGCCTAATTCAGAAATGTAGCATGATACAAAGTCAATACACCAAAATCAATAGCGTTCCTTTACACCAATGATGAACTCACTGAGAAGGAATTTAGGAAAATAATACCATTCACAACAATAGTACGAAAAAATTAAGTTCTTAAGGATTAGCCTAACCAAGAAAGTGAAATACCTCCACAACAAAAACTACAGTATATACTCTGAAAAAGGAGATAGAAGAGCACATCAGAAATTGGAGAGATATTCAATGTTCCTGGATAGGCAGAACCAATATAGTCAAACTGGCCATACTTGAAAAACTGATACACAGATTTAACACATTCCTCACAGAACTAGAGAAAACAATCCTAAAATTCATATGGAAACAGAAAAGGCTCAGAATATCAAAAGCAATCCTGAATAACAACAGCAAAGCAGGAGGCATCACAATCATGGATTTCAAGTTACATTACAAACTTACAGTGATTAAAAACAGCATGGTACCGGCACAAATACAGAAATGTAGGTCAACAGAACAGAATAGAGAATGTAGAAACAACACCAGGCACATTCAACTAGCTGATCTTTGACAAAGGGGCCAGAAATATATGCTTGAGAAAAGACAACTTCTTTAATAAATAGTGCTGGGAAAACAGGTTATCCATGTGAACAAGAATGAATCTAGACCCATGCCTCACACTTCGTATTAAAATCAAATGAAAATATATCAAAGATCTAACTGTTAAAACAGAAACATCTACTGGATGATAAAATAGGCAAAATTCTTGAAGACATAGATGTAGGCAAGAACTTTTTGAACAGAGCCTCGATTGCATAAGAAATAGTACCAAGAATCAACAACAAAAGAGATCATATCAAATTAAAAAGCTTCTGCACAGCAAAGGAAACAATCAAGGAAATGAGAGTGAGAAAAATTTCTGCCAGCTATTGCTCAGACAGAGGGCTAACATCTTGATTATACAAAGAGCTCCAAAAAGTAGATCACCAAAAAAAAAAGACTCAATAAAAAAATGGGCAAACTAAAGAATAGACATTTCTCAAAAGAAGTACAAATGGCCAATAAATACACGAAAAAAATGTTCAACATCTCCGGCCATTAGAGAAATGCAAATTATAACAGCAGATTCCATCTTACTCCAGAAAGAATGGCTATCATAAAAAAAAATCAAATAATAACAAATGCTGGCAAAGCGGGAAGGGATGGGGGAACTCTTCTAGATTGTTGATGTGAATGTAAACTAGTACAACTGTGATGGAAATCAGTGCAGAGATTCCTCATCAAATTCAAACTAGAAATTCTATTCGACCCAGTTATTACCCTTCTAGGTATCTTCCTAAAAGAGCTAAAATCATATTACAGTGATACATGCATATTCATGTTTGTGGCAGCCCAATTCATAATAGTTAAGTCTTGAAAGCAGCCTATATGTTCATCAACGATGAATGGATAAAGAAAAAATGGTGTTTATATACAATGGAGTACTCTTCTGTCAGACAGAATGATACATTTGAGTCATCTGAAGGAAAATGGGTGTACTTTGAGACCATAATGTTAAGTAAAATAAATCAGACACACAAGATTAATTATCATATGGTTTCTCTTCTATGAGAAACCCCAAATACAATTAAAGAGCAAAATAAAAGATAACAGGAAAAAAAGGAGACAGATCTTTTTGAAATGGGAAGGAGACCAAGAGTCAGAGGGAGGGGTGAGGGAGGGAAAAGGAAGGGGATGAAAAAAGAATTGAGATGTGTTATGTACATGTACCAACTCCCCACAAGGAATGGAATCATTATGTACTGGAAACATGTACTAATAAAAAATACAAATTGAGAAAAGACATTTATCTAATTTATTTTCTAGTAAACAGGTGTTAGAACTTTGTGTATAAAAAATTCTAAGAATGTGTTAGAGATACTTTTGGTATACACACAAAATGACTGAAAAATCAAGCTTTAGGATTTTCAATCATATTTCTCTAAGACAGTGCTTGTCAAATTATTTCTGGTGAAACACCAATTTATCTTAGTTCCTATTTCTTTGTTTTTTGATAACATACATTAAAACTGTTAAAACAAATTAAAAAATCAAAGACTTACTATATTCAACAAATATGATTATGCTATCAAATTGCTATGAGTTTCTAAACTTATATGTTTATAAGTTGCTGTAAGTTTCTAAACTTCTCAATCTTTGTCTTCCTCCTATTGTAGACTGGTAATAGTTTGTGCTTCAACACTGGCTCTATGACCACACTTGGGCTGGCACCATTGTAATGAATTATGAATTAATATGCAATGATTAATATCTGAGTAAATCAATTGCATAGACCCTTTGATTATATTTTTTCTTTGTTTTACATGTTGTTTTAATAAAACATTTGCATTTGTTCTTGGTAACTTTTGTTTCTCAATATTTCAATCAGGATTTTATGGAAAAATATATTACAATGTAAGTTTCTGGAAAACTCACCTACTCCAAATAATAAGGTGGTTAAAAGTATGTTTATGGGGAAATAATTACATTAAAAACATTGTGGATGTTCTTATTGCAGTACCTTTCAGTTCTGCAACTTATGTTGGTGGTGTTCTTTTCTGCTATCTGGTGATAATGCCACAACTGAGTGGAAGCTTCTGGAGGCTGAGCCTCAGGATTTAATCTTACTGTTAAATATTCATAAGTGATTATTTTTATATAAAAACAAGATGAGGGATTTAAAAACCTGATTGATATCATATTTGAGCATGATCTTAAAATGATTAAATTCACTTTGAAAATTAGAGAATTCTGGGCTGGGGATTTAGCTCAGTGGTTCCATCGCCTGCCTCCCAAGCTAAGGACCCAAGTTCGATCCCCAGTACCAAAAAAAAAAAAAAAGAAAATTAGAGAATTCCACTTGTTGTCACAGTGGTAATGTTTCCAATGCTGTCATTTATTACTAAGGTTCTGTGAAAAGGGGCAAGAAATTTTATATTGATTTATTTGTGAAGTAGGGTGAGATACCTTATAATGAACACCATAATGGCTCTAAGTGGATTACTATCATTACATAGTTACACTCAAATAGATTTTTTAATAATTGAGTTTTAAATAGAAACAATTTGTTTCTTGAAAAGTTTCAAGAGCAACATATGAAATAAAGAAAAGACACCATAAATTGAATAATTCTGGAGAAATAGTGTTTGTTTTTTACATTTAAAGCTTTAAAATAAGGCGTTTGAAAAATAACTTCAGTAATTGGTAGACTTGAAGATCAAGAGGGAGAGAATTACAGTTTAGCAACAAATAGAGCCACCCAAGCAGAAGTACATTGCAAAAAGACTCATTAGGTTAGGAAACAAATCTCAACATGGAAAGATTAGAACAGAAAAACTCCACAAATAGAAGTTATTAGATATCAATTCACTATTATAATATAATACATTAGGAACAAAGTAAAGAAACAATCATTTTCTCCAATGTTCATACAACATATTCTATAAATGAAATGCATTTGCAAAAAAGACATAGTAAAATATTTATCACAGAAAATTATATTTTATATTCTTATTTCTCTCTGATCTTCATATTGCTTTCAATAATCATTTTGGAATTTAAGCTAATATGTATTAGATTAAAATAATTTTATTTTGTACTATAACAGGTTAAGTAAAGGGAAATAAATAATTATTACTGGATGACTATGAGTAAACAATTTACATATACATTATTATTATTAGTTAGTAGTAATAGATAATCTGGTGTCCTTTTCACAGCATACATCTTTTCCATGAATACTATCAGGGATAGGCATCCTTGAAAAATCCAGGATAAAGAAAGTCAATATAAAGTCAAATGTTCTTCCCAGCACGTGGGAGGCTGAGGCAAGAGGATCACTGAGAGTTTCAGGCCAGCCTGGGCTACAATAGTGAGTTCAAGGCCAGACTGAGTTACAGTAAGACCCTTTTTTTTTTTTTTTTTTTGGTACTGGGGATCGAACTCAGAACCTTGCACTAGCAAGATCCTTTCTCAAAAAAAAAAAGTTTAAAAATTCTACTGAATTGCTTTATTTAATAACAGTAATTATATGGATAGTCCTACAGAAGCTATATGGGGATATATAAATACTCTAAATTTACTGGCAACCAAATATAATTGCTACTGGAAAAAAGGGGAAAATTTTAGAAACATACTATCTGTGAGAATTTCACACACACACACACACACACACACACACACACACACACACACACACATGCTCAAACATGCCCATGCATGTGCACAAAATTTTGCTTTGCCCAAAGGTTTCATACCCCTCAAAAAGGTTATATATTTACAATGCATTCTCTCTAAACTTTGAAAATGACATGAATAATTTCTGGGGTTTTTTGTTTTTGTCTGTTTTGATTAATAGGAATGAAGAATTGTTTTGTTTTTTTAAATTTCTTTTAGCTGATTCAGTCACACACTTTTTCCTCAAACTGGGAAAGCATCACAACACATCCAGCTCAGGTTAGGGTATGATCTGTGGACATGGAATAGAATATGTTTAATTGATTGCTAAAAAGATTCATTAGATCCTTAACATTCTAACAAATGGCCAAACAAAAACAATAAGAATCAAACCCCTCTATATTTTCCTGTATTAGTAGGTCATGGAATGAAAAGCATT